AATAACAAAACCGGTATGCATGTCGGTACAGTATTGATTACTTTGAGTATACTAGGTTTAGTTAATTTTTGGCCTGTTTGGATATAAGACTGCATTTCTGCTGGGAGATGATCATGTTGCTGAGTGTGAAGGGTCACTGGGATGAAAATACGGTATTACGTATGGTCGGCCCAGCGCTGGCATCACATTGAGGATAATAACAGGGTCGTCTCCATTTGCGGAATTGCAGGGCGAAGTCAAACCTCTGGTTGGGTGCAGAATGTGCTCGCTGAGCACACAGATATTGACAATAGGAAAATCGATAACACAGGAAAATTGGTATTTATCTATATATTAAGACAAAAGAAGGTAGGATAGGGTTCATTAAAATTTTTTTTTCGTTTATTTTTTTTATTAAACCTTTAATTTAGTCTCTGAACTTTAAATTGATTTTTAAACTACAAAAACCTTTAATTTGATCTATAAAATATTAAATTTAACTTCGAATTGATTTATCTAAAAATATTTGATGTATTTGTTATTCAATAATAGAAGGTCGTTTCTTGATGATTATGTATTACGTTAGAAATGGAACACATCATTTGTTTTTTAATTGATGGACTAACTTAAAATCAAATTTAAAAATTTTAAAGATTAAATTAAAAACTTTTAATTTAAAAACCAACTTAGAGAACTTATATAATAGTTAAAAGATCAAATTAGAGATTTAATCATATTTATGGAGTAAGTTTGTTTAGAACATTACAAGTACAACCTCTGACGTGTGGATGGTTGAATAATATGTCTGTGTTGGAACGAGGATAACAGGCAGTGCCAGGGATCACCCCAACAAGAAATTCAACCCAAATGCTCCACACTGTCAAAGGTATTACCTTATATTCCAGCAAGTAGGATCAAAGTCCAATGCGTGGCGTGGGGATTTTCCAGTTCGCTAGGATTTATCTTTTCTGAGATTAACTGGTGCGGCTCTACCCAAAAGCCCCACACCATGTCCCTACATCCAATGGATTTTTTTCCTTTTTTGTTCTATACGTATAATTGCCAATATCTGTAAAAAAAATTCGGAAATCTGTTTCATTAATCCTTTCGTTAGGTTAAGGCCTCGATGCTAAAATTTTTTCAGAATAATCAGATAATCACCAAACAGAAAAGATCAATATATATACTGCATATATATTAAACAAGGATAGATCAATATATATACTACATATATATTAAACAAGGATATACAAACAAGAAAATGGAACATCTCTCACCCTCGCTGATCTGAAATTATTGATTATTCACACGAAAAGTAGTATGTAGGCAACAACACACATAGAGCTTTTTTTCTTTTGGTTTTGAAGAACACAAAAGAAAAGGCCGTAAATAGTAATCTATGCTGATGCATCAGCATCACTATGGAGTCTGGACTGATATCTCCTCAAAAATGGTTCAAAAACTTTCGAAATTTCTTCAGGAACCCACCTTCTTCTTCCTCGTGGCGGTGGTGCTCGTGGTGATGATGGTGGTGCTCGTACCCGTTTCTCTCATTCTCTTCCTCCCCGTGAAAGTGACGTGGACCTCTGAAGATCGCGGCATCCTTGAACTTTCTCTCATTCTCTTGTTCCATGGGGAAGTGACGTGGACCTCTGAAGAACGCCTCATCCCTGACCTTTCTATCATTCTCTTCATCCCCGTGGAAGTGACGTGGACCTCTGAAGAACGCCTCATCCCTGACCTTTCTATCATTCTCTTCCTCTCCGTGGAAGTGGCGTGGACCTCTGAACATCGTCTCATCCCTGAAAAAAAACCTGGGCCCCTCATGGCGCCGCTGAAAGCTCCCCCACTTCGCCGGTACCTTTCTTAACCCGCCTGGATGCACCGTGTCAAAGTTCATCCCATCAGCGGACCTGATCATATCGTCACCAAAGGGAATAGCATGATGCTTCTGGAATTGCGGATCCCACGGCCTGAACTGGCGGCGTTGACGGCAATTGAGACGGTGGCGACGGTGTAAAGGAAGGAAGGGGCGCCTAGTGAACTGACTGTTGTTGGGACGGGAGCTAATCACTGTCAGCGGCACGTTGTGAGTGTCTGGACCAGTTTCCACCTCTGAAATCTCGGGTTTAGACTCGGCATCCTGAGACTTGAACTCGAGATTTGCGGTGTCGAATCCGACATCCTCGCTAGGTAGGAAGATTGCTTTCTGGTTTTCCGACAGTGAAGCTTCAGTCTCTACGGTAGCGGCAGCGTCATGTTCCAGCAGATCTACCTCCTGAAAGTGAGCAGGAGAAACGGCCAATAAGAGGAAGACGACGGCGACAGTTACGGCCAGTTTCGCCATTTTATCAGAAAAATGAAAATCGAGTTCTTGTGAAATTAAAAACACGGAGGTACTTTATATAAATGGATTCGGACAACAGGGATGATCTGTACCCACGATGACGGTGATTGGAGACTTGCGGCTTTGTCGGGATTCGATGGTTTTGGACACGCGGATTCACATTAATTTTTTTTTTTTAATGCAACCGTTTACTTTTAGTTAAAGAATCGTGTGGGGTTTGTCTTTTCTCGTAATGAAAGTTCAAATTTACGCCTTTGCCATTGTTTCTGTTATCCATTTTGTGGCGGGAGTAGGGGCAATAGGGTAATCTTCTTTATTCTAGCATATAAACCTGAAAGAAAATGTTGCAATCCGTAGTGACGTCATGGATGACGTAAACTGAAATGCGCGTGGAGTTGGCCATAGCTAAGCTCCAGTCCAGTCGGTATTACAGGCAGGCTACATAGAAAGTCTAATGGGCCGTTTTATCTGGCTCAGCTTAAAAGGCCGTTCTGCTTGGACTGGATATTAGATTTGGGCCTGTTCTCCAAAAGTCATGATATGTGGTATATTCAGACGGCCCAGGTCGAGGCCCAGACTGAATCGGCAAAAAATGATTCCTATCCAGTATCCATGGATTGAATCCTACTCATGTGAATTCAGAACACAATAAGCTATTTTGAGCTGGTGGTTGAATCTAGTAGTTTGTACCCAAATTTTAGTATTTAAATAGAATTGATTAAAAATTTGACTTTCATTAACTATTTGATTATTTGTACTAACCTTACAAGTTATTGATACTTCTCTTAGCTCATGGATTAGGCTCATTTCCTTTCCTCTTTTCCCTTTCATTTCCCTTATTAAAAAAGAAGAGGAAGAAGCTATTTTAACCAATTAAAATCTTGGGGAATTACAATGGATTCTACCTTGGCTTTTGTGATTGAATCCACCGCATTATTCAACGATGATATCAATGGGAAAACTCATGGCGTCAAACCAATGAGAAGCGTCCAAAAATGTATCAAAACCCCCTAAACAAGGCTCCCAGAGTAACCATTTCATTTTCATCTGCAGAAAAATCAAAATGCTATCGAGAGCATTTACAAAACAGAGAAGGAGTACCAAAGATGGTGAACAAAGCCAATCAGGGATGTTAGTCCATGAGTATGAGGATATCATCATAGGGTTCATGGACGATCTACCGTTGATATCCTTCAATGGGGCTCAACTGTACTTGAAGGAAGTATTGAGGGCATCTGTTGGGGTGATGGGGGAGAGTCGTCTGGGGATGACGGAGAAGGTTGTATTGGGGAAGGGTAGAGTATGCGCTGTGAAGAGGTTTAGGAAAGTAAACGTTGGGAGAAATGAGTTTGGGAGGAGAGTTGAGGTAATGGCTCAAGTCAGTAACAAGTGTGAATACCATGTGCCTATTGCTGCTTATTTGTACGCCAAGAGGATCAGGTTTGTTGTTTGCGATTATCATCCCCTCGGAAGCTTAGCTGACCTACTGGCCGGTGTGTTCTTCTCTTAATTTCCCCGGCCCTGGCCCCCTAATAGATTACATAAAAACTTAAGAAAAGACAGAAGTTGATTAAGTGGCATTTTTTCATATCTAATAAATTTTATTTTATAATTTAAAGTAATTTGAATTTATGAAATATAAATTTAAAACTTTATTGTGTTGGATTTTACCCCCTTTTTTTTTAATTACCATTTTTTGTTGTAAAAGAGAAAAATTAAAGTACCTGATTAATTTATTAATCAATTATTCATGCTTTTCTTGAATCGATCGTATGCGTTAAGGTGGGAGGCGCGATTACACGGCGTTAAATTGGAGCCAACGGCTGACCATAATAGTTTCCGTTGCGCGGGCAATTGCTTTCATACATTCACAATCTCCTCCGACGTCGGAACGGAATTTCAAATTGAACGTTCACGGCAGCATCAAACCCTCCAACGTCATGATGAATATCGACTTCACCGCCCGTTTATCTAGTTACGGCTTCATTCAACTGGCCGAGTACCGTCTCCAAGATATCGGCACCTCACAGCCGAAAACACTGCTACAGGCGGCGGAGGAAAGGCGAATCCACCGGGAATGGTTTGTCACAGAAGAGTGGCATATACGATTTCGGGCTACTGTTGTTGGATATACTGGCAGGGATAAGCGGTCGAGGTTTAATCAAGTGCATTCTAGGTAGAATTGAAAAAAATCAAAGAGGGTAGGGTGGAATTTTTTGAATTCACCGTGGAAGGAAAAGAGCGATCTCAGGCTTTGAAGATTTTGAACATTGCCTCGGCATGTACTAACAGGTTGCCTGAAGCTAGACCTTCAATGGAGCAGATTCAGTTGAATCTTAGTGAAGTGCTAAGTAAATAATCAGTTAATCTCTGTATTTTATAATTAATTACACCATTGATATTT